AAAAAAAAAAAAAAACAGTTACACAGAAGGCAATGAAGGCAATGACACATTATTTCAAACAATTGTCACTTTAATCTGAAACACAAGCAATTTTTTGCCTCACAGATTTTTAGTTTTACCCTGTTCTCGTTTGATTTTAACAATTAAGCGCGATGTTGACTTTGTAACCACACCTTATTGTTTCCAGGCTCCACGGATATTATGCTGAGGTACCAGGCCTCCCAGCTCCAGACTCCTTTTCCAATTTTATTTTTGTTTTTTTTTCATTTTCCGACCGACCGACCCAAAATCAGAAAACGCATTCGACAATAAACGAAAAAAAAGGGAGATCGCCTTACAAGGCTTCTTAAAGTCCAGAAAATGGTCTGCAAGAAAAAGCTTGTTCGATTCTGTCGAAGTTATTGCAGAAAATATTGGTCCAGTTCTTTCCTTTGGAAGTTTATGAGTCAAACTGAAGGGGGGCCAGAACTGACTTGAAAAGAACAGCGAGGCCAATATTTTCCAATTCTTACCAAAACTCTGTCCGAGCAACAACGTTGAATTAAGTTTTATGAAATCTCTTCTTACAAAAATAATACAATGCATCCGCAGGCGCCGAAGATGCCGGCAGATAAATTTGTCGTTAAATTGATTCACCGGCCGACGGAAAAAGAAACACGCCAGCAGATTGTTTGTCTTTGGTGTAATTCTTTGACGAGCAATTCGGCCGTGGTGAAGCTAATTCTCTCTCAGTAAAAGGTCACGAAATAATTTAAAATATTGGACTGCTCTGGGAACCACTAAGCCACCAAGCACCGACAGCTCCTTTTATTTTTGTAATGAACCAGTTTGCCACAAAGTTAAATAACGACAGTGCCCCAACTTTTCGCGGGTTTAATTTTTAATTCACCTTTTATGACGTGGAAGACTGGGGACCCCACAAATGTCTTAATACTGAAAACCCACAGGTGAGCATTGCGAAAGCGAGCGTTGGAAGAGCTATGATTTTCTATTTCTATGCATACATATGGTTCTGTTCCTCTGATTGTTATGGTGCTCCCCTTAACGGTCCTTCGTACCTCTGGAGCACCGCTATCATACTGGCGATCTGAATGACAATGTCAATTTATACAAAAGCCTTGCTGAACACAAGATAAATTAGTAATTCCAGGCGTCTTCGTAGCTCGGGCTAGTTCCTCGGTACTTAAAAACTATGCAACCGTAAAAGCATATGAAATAGATGAGTCAGATTATTGTGGATATGAAAACAACCACTGAAAACCCAGCTAGAGTTTTTTTCTCATGGAAATCTGGACCTCCTCAACTCCCACCCTAAGAAGAGCGCCGTCGAACTACGCTTCCCATCAGTGGTCACGCCCCAAAAATGATTTCAGGAGCCTTCTGTTTTATTTTGTTTTACTTTATTTTCATTCAGTGCTCTCTATATACCTTGCTTATAATTTACTACAGCCAAACCTCTCCGCACGGACAACTCTTAATTACGGGCAGTTCAAGGGGTCCCAAAGAACCCAAAATTCTTGAAATCTTCACCTCTAGAATACAGACGCCTCCATAATACAGACTGCGCTCTGCGGCTTTGGTGTCCGTGTTAAAGCGGCTCTACTGTAGCTGAATTCTTTTTCCTATTAAACAATGCTATGTGTAAGTATGTAAAATGTTGTACTATTTTACAGGCGCAAAAA